GGGGGAATCCAGCCCCTCCCCCTGTCACGGCAGAGAGCCGTGACAGGATCGAGAGGTGAGCGAACGCCGTTATGTGTTCCCGATCTACTGAGCCGACCTGCGACAGTCTCATTGTCACAGGTCGGCTTAGAACTATGAGGTGAGTGAAAAGCCCCTCCCCCTCATAGTTCTCCTTTAATACGTTCTACATGTTGTTGTTTAGTTTGGGGCGTGGGGTATGTTTTAATGTATAGAGATGCATAGTATTCTCTGAAGGCTTGGGAGATATGTGTGGAAGTATGTACTATGGTGTCCCGCTTTGATTTCATTTTTGCTATGAAGGTGTTATTTTGTTTTTTTTTTAAGTGGTTTAGCCATATATTCCCCGGGTTTGTTTCCCAGTTGATAGGCCCGTTGATTTCGATAATGAAGGGCTCTTTTATTTTTATGTTCTATAGCTACCTGCAATTCTTCTCTGGCTATTGTTTTTGTTTTTTCAGAAATATATTTTTATGGAGATTTTTACAAAAACAAAACGATATGAACACGCCAACGGAACCAAACAGCGTACATACAGCGCAACAACCGCGGTCTTACAAAGCATATGTCATGTCCGGGCCGTATAACATAGAAGGCACTCGCGGTGTATGCACCTTGTGGGATCCCTGAGCCAGGCGCAGTTTGGAGTGCTTCACCTTGCAGAGCTCGGGCCGCCATCCTGCTATCGGAGGCGAGCCAATTCTAAGGAACCAGGCACCCGCTTGGCATGCAAACAAAGCGACCAAGGCGTTGCACAACTAACATTCACCGCAGACAAACAAGAGAAGAAGATGAGAGTAAGGTCTCGTTCACACCTAGGCGTATTGCACATGCGCGTCTGTCGTGCGTTTTTTTTTTTTACCGGTAAAAAAGTGGCGCGTTTCCGAAGGCTACTTGGCTGTATCCCAATGGAAATGCGCAACAGAACGGCCCAAAACTGCGCAGCGTGTGTGGAGCCGTGAACAGGGCCAACTGATCGGAAGCCGATTAATCGATTATTGAAAACGTTGACAACTTTTTCAATAATCGATTATAATCGATTATGTCGATTAGTTGTTGCAGCCCTAGACTATTGTTAATGCCTGACGATCTAGGTCTGATAAAGTTCTTTTATGGAGATGTTCGAGGTTTGTCACTTTCTTCGTGAGTTCTAATATTTTACTATTAGTGTCTTTTTTTTTTTTCTTTTTTGTGCCATATGAAGTGAAAGCCCCTCGTATCGTCGCCTTGTGTGCCTCCCCGATTATCCCCGGCGTTATCTCTCCACTTGCATTTTCAGAGAAGTAAAGTGTGATATCTTTTCCTAGGGCTTCCCGTATCGTCTTATCCAGTGAGAGCGATTCATTTAGTCTCCGATTACCGAAATGACGGGGGCCGTTATTCATTCCCAAAGTAATCCTAACCGCTGCATGGTCCGATAAGATGGAAGATAGAATATTTGCCTTTTTACTGTATCTTTTACTTATCTTTTTACGTTCTTTTTCAGTTGTTGGCCAACACCACCGTGTGCTCTCATGTGATCCTGAACACCAATCGTTCCACAGATATCTCCAGAGTGATTGTGCTGAACTCGGCTCTTTGGGCGAAGATTTCCTGTTCTGTCCCCTCCCCCTCTATACAAACCTGAAATATCTTCTGGTTGGAGTTGGCCTTAAAAAAGACTCTCTGGTTTTCCTTTTGCACTCGCACTGCTAAGACCTCTGATATACAACAAGCCTTATGAACTCTGGAGGAACTCTGTGTAGACATTATTCATCCCGGGACAGTCCAGATCATTCTCATGTTATTATCCATCTACAGAGAGGAGAGTCCTGTATGGATCACATGACCACATCAATGATGACCATAGACAAAGACCTAAGTCACATGACTGAGAAGATATTACAGCTCACCCTCGAGATGATCTACCTGCTGACCGGAGAGGTGAGGAGGATTCTGGGAGGGTGTATCAGGTGAAGATGATGATATGGGGGAGATTCTGGGAATGTCGCAGCCTAAATTTGGTAAGCATTCACATTTCTCATGACGTCTCTCCATAGGGTTACACAGTGGTGACGAAGACATCCGGTGAGAGTGTGACCTCCAGCAGACATCACCATGTGTCAGAAGGACGGAGAGGAACCCAGGAACATATCACTGACCCTTTGACTGTGTCCCTGTCTCCTCTATGTGACAAAGAGAAGAAGAAGATCCTAGAAGTCACCCAGAAGATGATTTATCTGCTGACAGGAGAGGTGAGCGGTGCCGGGAGTTCTGGGACATGATCCAGGAACAGACAAGGGATGTGTCTGGATGGTGACTGTATCATTGTGTGTGTCAGGTTCCTATAAGGTGTCAGGATGTCTCTGTCTATTTCTCCATGGAGGAGTGGGAGTATCTAGAAGGACACCGGGATCTCTACAAGGACGTCGTGATGGAGAATGAGCCGCCCCTCACATCACCGGGTAAGAGGAGAGAGCAGTACGGAGGGTCCACCTAGATCCCCCATCATCTGATACACACATAGAAACAATGTATTCAGTCAGTGTGTGTGTTTCCTACAGATGGATCCAGTAAGAGGAACCCACCAGAGAGATGTCCCCGTCCTCTGTATTCCCGGGATGCCACACAGGAAGATCACAACATCCCTCACCATGGTCAGGTAGGTGGATAGAACACAAAAATGACTCCTCACTGTGTAGTCTTTCGGTGGTCACATTTTAAAGATGTTTTTCTATCATTCTGTTGGTTCAGCATGAAGAACGGATCTATATGAAAGTTGAGGTTAAAGAAGAAGAAGAAGAGGAGGTCGGTGTGAATGGTAATCATCAAACTGCAGAGACGGATGAGATGATTATAGCAATTAAACAAGAGAAATCTTCTCCAGATATCAGGACAAGTGAGTACTGACCACAAAATACAATGGAGGAGGGAATTTATAATATCGATTATGAGTGTTTGAACTTGCATATGGTCACATGGGATATATGTGCACCAGATTTATGATTCTAGAGTAATGTTGTTCATAAATTAGATTAAATAGACTCCAGGAAAGAAGACTCGTAACTCCAGGCAAAGAGCTGAACTGTCGCAAATGAGGAGGAGATACTGTACACCATATGAAGGTCCATCTCCATTCCTCAATATAACGTCATGTGACCAACAAATGAGGAGGAGATACTGTACACCATATGAAGGTCCATCTCCATTCCTCAATATAACGTCATGTGACCAACAAATGAGGAGGAGATACTGTACACCATATGAAGGTCCATCTCCATTCCTCAATATAACGATGACATCAGTGCCCATCCCCCGTCACTTAGTGTTGGGTTTGGTGTATTGTAGAATGTGTTTCTCATGTCATTTTGCTTTCTATCAGACGGCCGCCATGTCCGGAATACCTCGGAGGGAGATCTTCACTCTGAAGGGAATCACATACGTCCAATGATACACCACAGAACATATTGTCTGGAGACATCAATGGATCCCTCTAATCCTGAGGAATCTTCTGACCAATCACATCACATGACTTCAGATATCCATCTCGGCTCCCACAGTGAAGATCCGTCTACAGATCCAACTATCCCCGAGGGATCTTCTCTCAGCCATGAAGGAGATCACACAGGAGAGAGGTCATTGTCATGTTTGGAGTGCGGGAAAGACTTTAAGATGAAATCTGAACTTCTTCTACATCTCAAAACCCACAACCATGTGACCTTTCCATGTCCAGTGTGCGGGAAAAGTTTCACTGAAGAAAGCAAGCTTCTTAAACACCAGAAATATCACAAGGGTGGGAAGTCTTACTCCTGTTCAGAGTGCGGGAAACACTTCAGTACAAAAGCATACCTGGTTATACACAAGAGAATTCACATGGGTGAGCATCCTTATTCATGTCCAGAGTGCGGGAAAAGTTTTTTTGATAAAAGAAGCCTTTTTAGACACCAGAAAATTCACACGGGTGAGCGATCATTTCCATGTTCAGAGTGTGAGAAAGGTTTTTCTGATAAAAATAATCTTATTTCACACCAGAGAATCCACACAGGTGAGCGTCCTTTTTCATGTTCAGAGTGCAAACAAAGTTTTGCTACCGTAGGAAACCTTAACAGGCACCAAAAAACCCACACAGGCGTGCGTCCGTATTTATGTTTGAAGTGCGGGAAAAGCTTCGCTGAAAAAGAAAGGTTTTCTATACACCAAATAAACCACTCGGTTCAGCGTCCTCATTCATGTTCAGAGTGCGGCAAAGGGTTCCTACATAAAGGAGCCCTTACCGTACACCAAAGAATTCACACAGGTGTGCGTCCTTATTCATGTTTGGAGTGTGGGAAATGTTTCATTACAAAGGGACATCTAAATGGACATCTGAGAACTCACACTGGCTTACCCTGCTG